CCCGACCCTGGCCCCTCCGCCCCTTGCCTGGTGCCCAGCCCGGAGCCCCCAGGCCCCCTGCGCATCCCGGCCCGGCCCTCGCCTACCTTGCACGGTGACGGCCACCTCGGCGGAGAACACGGGCGCGCTCTCGGCCGGGAGGCGCAGGGTGCCCGAGCACTGGTAGCGCCCGCTGTCGCCCGCGCGCGCCTGCGGCACCGTGTAGTTGGCGCCGGCGGGGAAGGAGCGCAGGGCGCGGCCGTCCTGGTAGAAGCGCAGCTTGTGCACCGCCTGGTCGTACCAGCCGCGGCAGCGCAGCACCAGCGGCTCGCCCTCGAACACCGCGGCGTAGGGCGCTTGCAGAATCAGCCAGTCTAGACAGTCACCACAGATGGCCAGCTCCCAGGGATAGCCCTGGGGCCCCGGCTCTTCCCGCACCCCCTTCCTGCAGCAGCCCCCCTTCCCCTCACACCCACCAGCTGCAGGCACCGGGAGAGCCTGGGAGAGGAAGGTGCCTGAGACTGAGCCTTGGTTCCAGCCTCAAAGAGAAATGCCTTTCAGGATCCAGGCTCACCTCTTCAGGATGGCTTAGGGCCTTCCTGCCTGTTCTCTGCTTACCTGCCCTCTGCCACAGTCTCCTTTACCTCCCCACTATCTACTCCCCTGCAGGTGAACTGCTGGGGAAACTGGCCCTGCTTGGAGCCCAGAGCCTTGTTCCTGCTGCTTCCTCAGCCAGAAAGACCCCTTCTCTCAATTTCGTCGGAGCCCACTTGTCCTGCAGGTCTAGATGGAGACCTATCTCCTCCAGGAAGCTCCCCTGCCCCCCATCCGCCAAGGCATCTCCCACAGCACCCATGTTTACCATCACCACCATCCTCACAGCCAACACTGGCATGGCCGTGAAGGAGCGAGGTGCACTGTCGGTGTTCTACACTGAGAACAAACTCTGCAGGTACTAGCCACACCCTGTGTGCACCCTCAGCTCTGCAGGCAGTAACCACAATCTGTCACGGCCAGTACCTTACCTGACCCACTGTCACTTCCAACCAAGAAATACTGAGTGGGATGAGGTCTGTGTGTCAGTCTGAGCACTGAGTAGTGATCATTAAATTCTGAACAAACTGTGGCCTACGGGGCCCAGATAATGTAATATTCCCCACTAAGTAGCCAATTCTGGGCCCTGATGAACAAATTTCTGTTATTTCTCTTTCTGTTTTAAACCCTGTAAGTATCCCCAGGGCCAGTTTCTCAGTTAACTGCTAAATGCACACGTGCACGTTTGCAGTAGACTTCTGACGAAGCGCCCTGGTCAGCTGCTGCCTGTTTGCTTTAACAAAAGGTCATCATTCATTTTCGATCTTCACAACAACCAGAGGTAGATGCTCTTACTGTTCCTGCTTTACTGTGGGAGGCACAGAGGCGCACCCATGTAGAGTAACCCCAGCTGCACAGCCTGCCCGGGACCTCACCTCTGCTTCGCTCTGCCTTTTCTCTCCTTGCCCCTCCCCACCAGTTCTCTGACCAGTGTCCCGGGTCTTCAGAGCCTCTGCTCTTCAGAGCTTGTCTCACAAACAAACAGGAGTGCTTATTTGCCACCCCTGTGTCAGGAGGGTGAGGGGACCTTTGGGGACAGGCAAGCCTTACTGCATATCTCACAGAGCGCCATGAACCCCATCCCAAGATTCAAGATAGCCCCCCTTTTCCTGCCCCAATGGGAGTGGCCCAGCGTCCCCTCCCACAGGACAGCCAGTGCCAGTATCATCGGAGGAGCCGGCTGCTGCACCCCCACCGCCCGCAGACACTCACCATTGGACACAGAGAGGTGGACGGGGTCACTGACCGGCGCTCCCCGCGTCTGGCACCGGTACACTCCTGGGGTCTGTACCTCAATGCTCTTCCCATGAGAGGGAAGCAGCAGGTGGCCCAAGTACCAGAGGGTGCTGATGGGCCGGAGCTCCACGACCAGGGGGTGGTACCCATCACACCGCAGGGTTGCCCGCTCCCCCTTGAAGATGGTGGTCCAGGGCGGGTGCAGAGACAAAGTGGGCTTCTCCAGAGCAGCTGAAAGGGTGGGGGAGGGGCCATGTGGAAAAGAGGGTCAAGGTGGGGCACCCAAATGTGTGCTCTGAGTTTGGGAAATCTCAGAAAACCTCAGGTCCCACGACCCAGCCCACATCACTAACCCATCCCACAGTTAGTAGACATGCCTAAGTGCCTGTGGGTAAGCTGTCACAGGACGGCGGCGGGCGGAGGGGAAAAGACTCTCCCAGAACAACCAAGAAGTGGGGAGACCCAAGCAGGCCACTCAGGGGTTGGTGCGGAAGGTGCCGAAAATTGGAATGAGGGATGGGTCACACTCACCAGCTTGTCCACTGCTCGGAGCTGCAAAACAGGAATTAAAGAAGGGAGGAAGGAAAATGCCAGAGATGAGAGGAAAGGAAGGGGCTCTCTCCACCACAGAAGAGAGTCACAGGAATCCAGCCCTGTTTTTCTTCTGCCTCAGTTTCCCCAGCTCTGAGAAAGCCCCTCCTATTTCCCCCTCCAAGATAATGAACTGTTTGGAGTCGAGGATTGCATATCCCCCAAACACACACTCACACACACACACACACTCACATACACACACACCCCAAGCCCCCTGCCTCCTCACGGACTCACCCAGGAGCAGGAGGGCCACCAGTGTCCACATGACAGACCTGCCTGCAGCTGCTGCACAGAGATGGAGATGCTGCCTGGGGGGGAGGGAAGAGAAGGGCCAGTGCTGACCACCCAGCACAGGCAGACATCACTGCCTCTCTCAGCTGCTCCTAACTCCTGTAGATGGTGGGCTGGAGGGAGCAGGAGACAGGCTGGATATGAGTCAACCCTCAAGGTGCCCCACCTACCACTCAGTGAGCACCTCGAATCTCAGGCCAGCCCCAACCCCTGTGGAGGAGACCTGCTGAGCATAGCCTGTCCCTGCAGACCAGGTTCCCCCAGGTGACCCTGCCACCTGCTGTCCAGCTGGCCCTATGAGCCTCAGTTGAGGAAGACACACCCTCATGACCTCAAGGCCCACCCAGGGCCTTTCTCCTGCTCACTCCCTGAGGACAGACATTGGTGTGAGGCTTAGTGAGGTTGACAGTGGGTCCCCTGTGTCCAGGGCTCACACCCTCCCACAGGTGAGCAGACAGGAAGACAGGACTCCAGGGTCCCCATCAGGGGCAGAGATGTAATGTATTTCCCCTTCTTTCTTCCTTCCCCAAAACCCTAAACCCTTCTCTCCTACCCATCACAGTGACCTCGCCCTGTGGCACCTCTACTCACTGGAGCCTGCCTTCCTTCTGTCCATCCCCCACCCCTTCCCAGCCACTCTGGCTGCACCCCTCACCTGTGCAGAGAAGTCACTGCATCAGCCCCTCAGAAACACCTCTGTTACGACTTCCACTTCTTTTCAAGCCATGTGATCCTACCCTGAGCAACAGGGAGCCTGAATCCTCAGGTAAATACTTAATGAATTTTCCATCCTGATAGTATATCTCCTTGGACAGTCTCCTGTCCCCCCTGTGGCTGTTAGCATGGAGCACCTCCTTCCCTGGGAACGCTGGCAGGAGGGAGATTATCAGACAGCCCTAACTTTGCTGATGATGGTCCTTCCCCTCTTTCTTGGGGACACCCACAGCTCCACTCTGAGAATTAATTCCCTCTTAGTGCCTCTTCAGGTGCTGGTCCTTGTTAAAAATTCGAATACCTCTCAGGAAAGTTGATTGATCATTTCATTTATGCTGGTCCCTTCAGATCCTGTTCTGAGAGCAGCTTTTGATAAACGAGAGATAGTGTCATGAGGGTCTGGAAGGCCCTTAATTAGGTGCTCGGGAGCTGGGGCGGGGGAGGAAAGGACCAGATCCGGGGAGCAGGGACCATGAACTGCCTGCACCCCCATATCCCTCCTGGCTCCCACATCACCCACAGCCTGCCCCAGAGGTCTGACCCCGGCCAGGGCCTCCTCTGTGGTAGGAATGTGACACCTCGTCAGTTGTGCCCTCAGTCTACACCGGCTGCCTCTCTTTTGGCTTCTCTTCCCTCAGAACACAGACCTCAGCCTCTTCACCAGATTCCACAAGAAATCCAACTACACCCAAACTTCACAAAGCGTGCAACCTCCCCTCAACCCACTGAATCACCCACAGGCTCATATCACAGTGCTCAGAGTTTGACTTGAAAAATCCCTCCTCCCTCGCACCCCCAGCATTTCTTTATTCTTGGCTCTCCTCCACATTTTTCCCAAGTTGGGTCTTTTCTGCATCCAGTATTTTTCCCCACAGAATTTCTAACTCTTAATTTCTATGCCACACAGAAATTTAGCAATTACCACTTGTTACCCAAGCAGTTCTTTGAAGCCTATCATGACCTCATTTCTGGACAAGCTATGCCATCATCTGATAAGAGTCTGTGAATAGTGGAGGGTGCTAAGGACCAGGACACCAGCTCACTCCCACGTGACGGACACTGTGTCAAGAGCTTCCCAATATCACTTCATAAAACGACCACTTTAACATCCAGCATGACTTTTTTCCCTTGTTTCTTTTTTAAAATTGATTTGAAAGAGAGAGAGAGAAATAGATTTGTTATTCCACCTACTCATGCATCATTGGTTGCTTCTTGTATGTGCCTTAACCAGGGATCGAACCTGCAACCTCGTCATATCAGGACGATCGATGCTCTAACCCACTGAGCGACCTGCTAGGACCCATCCCCTTGTTTCTTTGTGATGTGTCTGAGGGGGTCACATCTTTTGTAAATCACCGTGGATCAGAATAATCGGCACAAAGAGGAAGTGAGTAAGTCCACCCGGGCCTGGGAGGCCGCGGCTGAGGTCCATGTGGAACCATGTGCAGACCCTCTGACCAGAGGCGACTGTGCACCTGTCGTCTGGCTCACTGCCTGAGAAGGTACGGTAGCCATCCAAGCACAGGAGAAGTACTATTATGGACCCAAATAGATTTACATATGCTTTTAAAGAAAAATAGTTCAGAGACAAAGTCATAAAAACAAATCATTGCAGCTCTAGCGACATGGGCTGGCCCATAGGCTTCTGAGTCCAGAGGACCCTGTGGGGACTTTCCGGCTTCAGCTGTTTCATGAGTAGGGTGCTCACTGCTTCATGGGCAGGGACGCTGACTCGTGTGTATGCCTCACAGATCCCCCACTCAGCAGGAGCAGAGGCAGCTCGGGGCCAGAGCCTATTCAGTCAGTCGTGGCTCAGCGAGGCTGAAATGGGGAGAGTGGGGTTTTGCTCCTCCGTACCAGTGACGCTTGGGGCCAGAGAATCCTTTGTGGTGGGGCTGCTCTGTGTGTTGTAGGATGTTTAGCAGCACCCTGTGTCCTATTCACTAGACAACAGTGGCACCCCTCCCCCAGCTGACAGTGTCCCCTGGGCAGGGTTGTCTGATGGAGACTGGCACTAAGCCCATCTCCTTGCTTCTCTCCAGTCACCTGACCGGCTGCGCAACAGAAGGCGACTACTGGCCCGGAGAGGATTCAGGTTACGGCGCCTCAGTGAGAGAGGGTACACGGCATAGCACAACTCCATTTGGTACAAGTTTATTTACACTCACCTACCTCCCACTCTAACAAGACTCTAGACTGCTCTAAGAATTCTCCGTGCACGTGTACAGGACAGAAAGAGAGAAGCAGGAGAGCTCGGTTTACTGGGGTGCTTGAGCGGCACTGCGGGTGAACCCTTCACCCCTGTTTGGCAGGGCCCTTCCTGGTTTCTAGTTTCAGGTGGCCAGACAAGTTCCTCAGCTCCATGGCCAGGTGACCAAGGAGAGCTCGCACATCCTGCATCTGTTTGAGGAGAAGGCCCATCTGATGGTGCAGGTGAGGGTCAGGCACCTGCAGAGGAGAGGGGTGGCCTGGACCCTCCGAGGAAGGGCTGGGGGTTGGAGGCAGAGGCTTGGGGGGCTCCACAGCTGCTGTTCCTGGAGCTGCTGATTTCAAAGGAGGAGGGCTCCAGGTGGGCAGTGTGCCAGAACTTGAGGAACCTAGATTGTGGGGCAGGAGACACACACACTAGTGATATCTGAAGCCTGGCCCTGGCCCCTCCCTCACCTTCCTGGTCAGTCTTTCCTATTCTCTGACAGAGGCTGTGGGGCTCACAGCAGCAGAGACTTGAGGGCCTAGTGTCCCTCTTGGTCCAAACCTGAAAACCTTCTATGGTGAGGCCTGGTCAGTGGAGGGCTGTGGACAGCAAGGCTCCTCCTTGGTTCCCTGCATGAGGGGTGGCACCTGCCCTGTGGGATATTTGCAGCCTCCTCACTGTGTGTGGCTCTCATGTAATTCCTCACCTGTGCAGCCTCCAGGGCTTGGGAGACACTCTGCTGGCCCCTCACATCACCTCCTCCTCAGGGTGACTCTCTCCTGTCCCTCCATTATTTTCCTACAACCTAGCTTCACGTCCCCATTACCCTGAACCCCTCCTCTGTGTCTGGGTCAGAGCAGCCTTCACAGGGGCCCGGGCTGAACGTGGACCCCAGACTCCTCGTCCGCATCTGCATGCTGGTTTCCCACAAGCGCCCAGAGCTCCTCTCCCGAGCGTAAGGCGCGTAGGCAGCACCTGTGGAGACAGCTGGGATCCTGGGTTGGTGAGGTGTCACTGTGTTCTGAGGGAGAAGCCCCCTATTTGCACTCTCACCATCTCCAGGGGCCTGTCTCCTTGTTCCTGCCTCCTCTGTGTCCTTTGGGAACCTGCACACACCCAACCCCAGCTGAGGAGCCAACCGTCCTGCCCCCTGTTTTACACACACGAACAGACACACCAACCTACCCTGCACTCTGACCTCCAGCTTGGAGCTCTTTTTCCAAACTTGGTTGTCCTCTGTGGCAGCCTCACACCAGTAGGACCCAGAGTGGGCCTCTGAAGCCACGGGCACCTGCAGCTCCGGGGACAGGCCCCTGCTGCGCAGGGCCCGGCCGTCCTTGTAGAAGGAGAAGAGGAGGCGCGCAGCTGACCTCCATAGGGGCAGCTTTGTCTGGCAGCTCAGGGTCACTGCACCCCCCTCTCGGGGCTCCGCTGAGGGTGTGGCTCTGAGCACTGGGGCTGGAAACAGCTCTGAGGGGAGACAGGTGAGAAGGACGGGCTCAGGCCTCCTGAGGTCACACCACCATCAGAGCGCCTCTCAGAAGTTCCATCAGAGCCTTTCTGTCTTCGTGTGAACAGGACCAGATGAGAGCTCGTGATGGGCAAGTGTGACAATAGTCCAGAGGCCCAATCAGTGGATACTGGATGCATGGGATAGAGGGCTGGAAGCAAGGGGGCTCTGTGGGGGATGGGGCTGGGGGGGACACATGGCTGGGAAGGCTCGGCCGGTCTGCAGCGAGCCTGCCCCTCTCCCTGCTCTGACACCACGACACTGCCTCAAGCTCTCACCTTGGACTGTGACCACCACAGAGGACGCTGTCTCTGGGCTTCTGGGACCAGGGCTCTGGAAGGTGGCACTGCAGTGGTAATGCCCACTGTCTGCCTCTCGCACTGCGGTGATCGAGAACTCCCTGTTAGGTCCGGGGGCACCCAGAGCTGAGCCGTCTCGGTAGAAGGTGACCTGGGTCAGTGGCCAGTCTTGCCAAGCCTGGCAGCGCAGAACCAGTGGGTCCCCTTCAAATATGGGAGTGGCTGGGCCTTGGAGAATCAGCCAATCTGTGACCCAGAGCAAGAGCAAAGTGTTGTCCACACCTTCATGGGAACCCACTCAGTGCTGCCCACAACAGACCCCTAAACTTTCTCTGAGGGTCTAGGTATCTCTCACCCCAACTTCCCTAGGGTCCGGACCTGAAGGCACCCTGGCCTGGGGGCTGAAGATATGGGAGGAGGGGTGTCCTATGCCAGCTTCCTGGGGCACCTCCCCATGGGGGCTGTGGGCTGGAAGGAGGGGTTTGGGAGATGAGAGAAGAGTAAGCCTGCTCCTGCCAGTCCCTCCCAGCACCTCACCGTAGGACACAGTAAGATGGAAGGGTTGGCTGAAAGTGTAGCCCTTGACCTGGAAGTCAACTTCCCTGGAACCCCTCAGTTCTCTCTTCATGTGGCAGCCGCTGTCCCGGGTGCTGGCGGGTCCTTCACACTGCAGGGCCTCAAAGCTGGCAGCTAAGGAGGGCAGGGTCCGAGGAGAACCAGAAAATGATGCTGTGACTGAGAAGGACAGGAAAGTGCCCTCCACCGGGTTCCTCCTCCTGGGGAAGCCCCCCTGTTGGAGTGAGAATAGCAAGACGCCAAAGCCTTTTCCTCAACAGACCCACGTGCGTCTCTCAGAGGCATCCAGGTGCTCAGTGAATGGGCTGTGGTTCAGGGAAGAGGCAGGGAGAGAATGGCAGGATGGTGGACTCACCAGCATGACATCCAGCTGCCGCGGACACAGGGAACCAGAGACCACAGTCATTGATGACCCAGAGCCAGCCGACACAGGGCAGGAGGGAAGGGAGATGGTCAGCGCTGCCGTGGCCGGTGTGCGCCCGTGCGGGCTGGCGAGCTCTTCCACACGCTCCTTCATTCATCGTCATGAGATTCCCAGGCGTGTGATTCCACCCCCAGCTTATAAATCTTTAAGAAACTGGCCTAGAACACTCAGTTAACTTACCCAAAGTTTAAAAGGGGTTGGGAATGGAGTGAGAAAGTCAGGTATGTCTGAGTCCAAAATCACTGTTCAGACCTGACCTCAGCCTCCCTCGGGAACTTTCATTGTCCCAAGTTTGCCCGGCTCTTTGTCTTGACCATCTACCCACTGGGGCTCTCAGTGCCCAGCTGATCTCCTTCCTTCTCTACCCTGATGTCCTCTGTCCCTTGAACTGTGCCATTCCCTGTCCTTCTGTCCCCAAACCCTGGTCACTGTGGAGCAATTCCTTCTTTGCTTCTGGGTTGAGAGTTAGAGTTATGGATTTCTCGCCAAATCTCCTCAGCCCACCTCTTCACTCCATGGTTGACCCAGGCAAGGTAATTCCATTTCTCCCTCCTCCGTGACGCTCCGAGTCCTCTCCCCACTCTGGCCTCACGGCCATGTGCTCACTCTTCGCCGATCCCCCCTGCCCTCCCTTCCACCCTTTCCCTCCCAAAGGCCCCATACTTTCCTCTGACCGTGTCACTTCCCTCAGTGAGGCCCCTCCCTACTTCCTAATTCTCTTGGGCCAGGCCCAGGTGCTGTCCTCAGACCCTCTCCTAGCCTCCACCCCCTCAGCTGTCCTCTCGGTTCCTCCGCTGTCACTCGGCAGGACTCAACCTCTTCTCCTTTTTGACATAAAATCTGGTTGGGCTGCCAGGCTCTTTCACTCAGAAAACTACATGGTAGGTATCAGTGTTCTCATTTTGTGAATAGGAAAACCAAATCCAGAGATATAAAAAGTGACTTTTCCAGAGTGACATTGTTAGTAGAAGGAGGGTGGAACCACAGTGTCTGGAGTTCCGGCCACACACTGGCCACCCGGTCCTGCCTCTGTGCATTCAGTAAAACGATTCAACATTACTGTGGGGGACATGCAGGTGCCAAGAATTCAAAGACAGGTAAGATGAAGTTAAAAGACAAAAATGAAAGGCCTCACTCCACCTACAAATAACTGTTGAGTGGGTGGCACAGGCCCACATGCTCATTGTTTTTGCTCAAGGAAGGAAGTGACAGGAAAAAGGTGTCAGGCGGCCATCGGAGCAGAGGAGAGCCCGTGGACAGCTTCCCGGGGAAGGTGCCACCTAGGCTGAGGGTTTAAGGATGCCCAAAGGAGCGAGGCAGGAACAGGGGCCATGGCGCTCATTTCCGCAGAGGGAGCAAGTAAGTGTCTGACGTGAGGATGAGTGACTCTAAGCAGCTGGGGTTTGCTGGAGCATCACCTGCTGGGCTCAGGGGACTGAAGAGGCTGCAGAGGGGACCTGGGGGCCATGTTGGCCGGAGGTCCTTCGTGCCACAGGAAGGAGCATGGGCTGGACAAGTGCAGAACTCACTTCAAGGACACAAGACAGACAGGGAGATCAGTTGGGAAATCACTGGACCAGCGCAAGTCAGGAATGACGAGGGCTTGTTGTCCTCACACGGCATTCCTTACAGCTCGGGGAGGGGCAGCTCCAAGGACAATGATAACTGACTGTCTCCGCAGCATGGCAGAGGGAGAGTCCCCCAAGCCAGTGACTGGGTGTTTGGGTAAGAGATGGAAGGGAGAGGGGCAGGAAGGGGACAGATGAGCTCCGGCCACGTGGTGCTACGGTACCTGGGACGTGCAGGTGGAGATGTCTTGAGAGCAGCTGGGGAGAGAGCAAGAAGAAAGAACAGTAGGAGGCGAGGAAGCACCACAGGAGACGCAGGCTTTAAGGGGAGAGCAAGGAAACCACCAAAGGGACCAAGAGGTAGAAGGAGGGCAAGAGGAACATGATGGGAGAGGGCCTGGGGAGCGCCGGACGCCAGGCGGGAATGAGTGACCAGCAGCAGCAAAGTCCAGCAGGGTAGGAACTAAAAAGTGTACGAAGGCCCTTGGGTACAGACGTCACTGCCTGGGTCAAAGTGACCCAGTAGCAGCCAGACTGTGAGCACTGTGAGTGACGCTTCATCTGCAAAACGCAAGAACAGAGCTGAAGTTGTCACTAAAGAGGGCATCGCAGTCAAGGAGATGAACGAGGTAACGGGAAAGGCTGGAAGGTTTTCATGCCCAGAAAGAGCCGCTCAGTCCTGCAACTCACATCCTCCTAAGCACTGCCCTTCCGAGGCCCACATCCCTTCCCGTTGGGTTCTCCCCAGACAGGCACCTCTGTGCCCAGCAGTGTCCAAGCCTGTTACTCACCCAGCAGCACCTGGGCTGCCCAGAGCACCGGAGGAGAGAGGCGGGCGCCGGCCGCGACAACACCGCTCAGCTTCATGGTGACTGTGAAGGTCTTCGCAGCCTCACTCACCCTGATTTCATCAACATGAAACCTCTCAAATTAGAAAAGAGGAAGTAAGTCTAACTGTCTCCTCTCCTCACATCTGGGGCCTAGTTTCAACTCTGATTGGCTTCCATCGTTCAGATCTGGCCACAGTGGTTCCAGGTCACCTGGGTCCTGAAGGCTGTGAGTGAAATGACAACACTGCCAATCATTCCAGAATCCCCGGGGAGCTCAGAGAGCTTCCGAAGCTGTCGCTGTCTGGCATCCATCCCACGGGCCCCCCGCACACGCTGGGGGAGGCCAGGCCACAACTGTGCCCTTCACCAGTGAGCAACGGAGGACAGAGGGAGAAGCTGCCTGAAGGCTGCACAGGTCACCACTGTGAGGGCACCAATGGGAGTTCAGGGGCCTGCCCATCCTGCTCCACACTTTCTGTGTCTGGTGACAAGACTTCGGCAGGACATGGGGCAAGAGGACACTGACCGCACCAAGTCAGATATCAGCTGAGTCTTTCCTGAACTCCAACTACCCAGGGCCCACACAAATCTGCACACAAGTTCTCGGACCCGTGTCTCAGCTGCCGCACTCGGAGACTGTGATGTTAGAGGGAATCTGAGTATGAGGCAGAGTCCCCTGGGAAAGAGGAGAGGGAGAAAGAGCGAGTTTCCAGAGGACCCAGTAGGGAGCCCAGGCTCAGGCTTAGCCCAAGGCCCTGATCCCGAGGATACTGGAGACAGGAGGCATCGGGCAGCCTGAAAACCTGAGGAGACCCAGGAAGAGGGTTGACATGGAGGTCGCAGCATCTCCTCCAGTGCCCAGTGGCTTCCTGGGAACCACTGTCCCTGCCTGTGACGTCTGCCCTTTGATCGTGGCTTCGCAGTGGCAGGGCCATCGTCTCCTCACAGGGATCACCCTCGGCTCCCCCACTACCACCCATCATGTCCCCCAGGCCCTCAGTAGTTGCAGGGAGATGAGAGAGCCATCAGAAATGAGGAAGGTGGTTCTGCGTGAAGGCGGGGGAGGGCCAACCTGACCCTTCAGCCATGTAAAACCACAGAGCAAAGCAGACATATTAGCAGCATGGCCCGAGAGGGCAGGTCATTCTCAATCTAAAATAAGCATTTGCAGGAAAGTTTCCATTATCTGAGAGGCATGTGTTCTTGTGCAGGTGGCCCCACAGAACCCAGCGCAGGCTGCGTATGGGTGTGGGGAGGCAGTGAGGCGGTGAGCCCTGCAGCCCATGTGGCCTGAGAGACCCAGCAGCCCCTGGAGAGGAAGGTGAGTCTTGGCCAACCCAATAAGAATCTAAAACGTGAAATGAGTTGAGATGGACCTCTACCCCTAACACTCCCAAGTCTCATACCTCTCAAAATATGCACTCAAAATGGATCATGGACTTAAATATAAGACCTAAAACTATAAAAGTTTTAGAAAAATACAGGAGAAATTTTGGGGGGATTCAGTGCTAGGCAAAGAGTTCTTAGACTTGATATCCAAAGCATGGTCTATTAAAGGCGGAGATTGCCCATGGATATGTGGAAATCATAAATTATGGGGTTATCTGACTTAAAGTTATAGAAATGTATGTTACAAGGCATTTGATGAGAAGTCTTAAGTAATCTTGTTGATATAAATTCCTGTATAATTTAAATACTCTGATGAAATTGTGCCTTCCTAAAAAGAAAGAAAAGATAAGGAATATTTAATCCCAGTGGACACAGGAGAACAGTAAACAGAGAGACTGGTCTCGTAGGTGACTTTAAATCTAAACATATTTCTTGGTATTGAAAAAATGCAAAAGTATCAGAAATAACAAAGGGGATTAGTAAAGACTAAAAATTATTATGAATGTAGAAGAGCGTACAATGCACAATATAGAAAGCAAATAAGAAAGCCTTGATCAGAAAACCAAAGCTAATTTTGTGAAAAGAGCAATAAAATAGGCCTTTGACAAGTCTGATTAGGATAAACAGATTAAGAGATAAAGGTGTCTCATATTCAACCAGTGAACAATATTTTGTTTAGTATCTACATAGGAATAGTGGGATGTCCACAAATTTTGGTCATGTTGTTATAAAAAAAATCAGTTATAGGGAACTGATTTTATTTTCCTAAAGAGGGGACTGCTGATGAGAAGCAGGACAATTCTCCTGGAAGACCCCAGGGAAGGTTCCAGAATCAGAGGGATTAGGTTCAACCCAAGAGATGGATCAGAAATGGTTTTAGAAATAAGAGCATAGCTGGAAAGTCAGACTCTTAGGGCCTTTCTCCCACTCAGGGGACTAGGTGTTTCCAGGTAACTACTCTTCCCCCACCAGAGTTTAATGCTCAGGAGAAACTGAACCAGACAGCAGGTATCGGTGAGTTCAGCCCGAGTCGATGACTATGGGGTGCGCACCATGACGTTTGCACTCTTTTTCAGGACACCTGTCAAACGCACTCCAGCCAAGCAGAGAAGTAAACCAAGAAATTAGAAGATGGAAGATTCGAGGGAAATGGGGTTTAGTACAAAAGACAGATGAAGGGGAGTCCCAGACAACAGCCTGCAGGGTCCCAAGAGAGCAAACCATATAAATTAGTGTCAAAAGACAGAGAACCCCAGGAGAGGCTTCTTGCTAATGGCGAAAGAGAGAGAGAGAGAGAGAGAGGGAGGGAGGGGGAGAGAGAGAGAGAGAGACAAGAAAGAAAGAGAGAGACAAGAGAGAGAGAGAGAGAGAGAGAGAGAGAGAGAGAGAGAGAGAGAGAGAGAAAGAAAGAAAGAAAGAAAGAAAGAAAGAAAGAAAGAAAGAAAGAAAGAAAGAAAGAAAGAAAGAAAGAAAGAAGGAAAGAAGAAAGAAAGAAAGAAAGAGAGAGAGAGAAGGAAAAAAGAGAGAGAAACTGAAAAATTGGTCATTTGACCACGTGGGAAATAGTAATACACTCCTTCAGAATGTTTTTGAAAAATTTGGGAAAAGGTAAAAATAGGCACATAGAAAACTAAGCAAATGACAAAAATGAAGCAGTTATTATCTCTAGAAGGAAAATCTTGCTTAGGAAAGGAAATGTAATCAGAGAAGACTGCCTCGGGGACAAGTGTTTCTGAAGCTGTGACAATGCTGGACGGGAGGCTGGGCGAGGGGGCTGGGAGCCCGCGCGCTGTGATAAGAACGGGCCTCACCGTCCATAGCAGGAAACCAAAGGGATAGTATCTAATACTGACGAGTCAAAAGGGCGCATGTTGTATTATTTGGAAATATGAATGTAAATTAACAGAAGACATAGTTTAAGTTGTTGAAAATTATTGCCTTTGAGCACAGCACTGGGCAAGGGAAAGGCAAGGAACAGCTATTGCTTGCTATAGCCTTGTGTTCTATTACATAATTCAAATTATATGTGTGTTACTTTAGTAGAAAATAAAATCTATTTAAAAACTAAATAAATCATTGTCTTCACATATACAATTAAAGACATCATGCAGACAAATCATACAAACCACACCACTGTGCAATGAAGGTGGAAAATGACAAAAGAGATAGTGAAAATAAACAAAATAAATCACTCTTCTAGATAAACCTTGAGTTAAGAAGAAAATAAAACTAAAGTTATAGATTACTTAGAAACAAATAATGACAAGAGTGTGTATCAAAAATCTAATAGACTTGGCCAAAATAGCATTAAGAGGAGAAGTTATAGTTTTAATGAATTTGTTTAAAAACAGAAGTTTAGAAATAAATGAGTAATATAGTAAATCTAAGTAAAGTATAAGACCGAGTAAGTTAGGAAACAAAGAAAGGCAAAGACTTGATCACTAAGTCAAAAGCTGTGATGGGGATAAATGATGATGGAAAAAAATAAAATAAAACACATTATTTTTTAAAAAGCTGTGACAAGACTAATAAGACAGACAAACCTTTGGAAAGTCTGATTGAGAGCAATAGATATGGCCTGGCCAGTGTTACCCAGTGGTTGAGCTTTGACCTGTGCACCAAGAGATCACCAGCTCGATTCCTGGTCAAGGCACATGCCCGGGTTGCGGGCTCAGTCCCCAGTGAGGGGCCTGTAGGAGGCAGCCAAGTGATGCTTCTATCTCTCTTACCCTCTCCCTTCCCCTCTCTCTGAAAATCAATAAAAACATATTTTTTTTAAAAAAATCATCAGATATGGCAATCTCGGTGATTGGCTCTCCAAGGATCATTCCACTCGAAATGATGCAGCTAAGTTGCGGCCGGTCGCCTCATACTCTCCCTAGTGATTGTTCAGGGCTGGACGTGAGACCCGGGCTGACCAATTACAACGCGATGGGAAGGCTGCTGAGAAAGGCTTCCTCGTGCTTAAGAAAGAGACGCGTGGGAGAGGCAGTGGTTCCCGCTTCTCTAGCTGTCCGGGTGTGCACAACAGAACTGCTGTCACCTTCCTGCCACTGCCCCAGGGCAGAGCCCAGGAAATGTCAGGACGCCCTGTCTCTGGGCTTTTTATTATGTGAGATAGTACATTTCCTTACTGTTTAAGCCCATTTGATTCATGATTTCCTGTTTTCCAGCTGAAGTCACCCTAACTGATAAAAGAAAATCCCAGAGTGAGGTTTGAGAGGGGGACATAAATATAGACACATAAATTATTACCAAAAAAAATAGAAGAAAATACAGTGTTACAGCTGCACACCAATAACATGATTTCCTAGGAAAGTAAAATTTTTCAAAATTGACTCCAAAAGAGATAGAAAAGCCTGATCAACCAATAATGACAGAAAAAATAAGTTTGTCAAAGATCTGCCCTAGAATAGGTATCAAGTCCATAAGTTATTAAAGGAGAATCTTATCAAATCTAACTAATACAAGGGGACATTGGAGGACCTTAGAAACTGCAGGAAATGAGGTGGATTGGGAGAGGGAGGATGTTGGTCTCATCTGGACAGTGCCACCTGCTTCCACAGTGAACTCTGCTCAGATGTAAATTCTAGGGAAACAGCACCCACCTGGCACCTACTCACACACACTGAGGGGAAGGTAGAGCTATTTGCAAAATCAGCCTCTGTTACCAGAATCAAGGGAAATTCAGGGTAGGGAAAAGTAACATTGTCCATTATAAGCAGACTAGCAAAAATTGAAAAATGCCCAACATTGGCAGGGTGGAGGAAATGGCCACCCTACCATACCCTGAGGAAATGGGAGGACATGCACACTTCTTTATGAAGACCGTCTGAGGGCATCCTTGGGGCCAGTGACTCTACCTCCTGGAATTCGTCCTGCAGAAATAATCACATGTGCAGTCAAAAATATCATCCAAGAATATAGTTCATTGCAGCATTGTGTATTACAATGAAAAATGGTAACATTCAAAATGTAGGTTAAATAAAATACGCTGTAGTAATTTTACTGTGGAATACCATATAATCCTCAGAAAGAAAACACTTCCAAGGAATGAGCTCCACAACCCGCTGTTCATCAAAATAAGCCAACTGCGTAAGCATATGTATAGTATGATAACATTTATGGTATTTTTTTAAAAACTATAAAAATCCAGAAATATACACCAGACGTTCAACACTGGTCACCCATAGGACTGGGGGGGTGAGGGCAAAAGGGAGCCTCTGTTTTCCCTCTTCACGGCTCTGTGCTGTCTCAGCTCACATGCCGACAGATCATGAGTCCTTCCCGCGAGTCCTTATGAACACGTAACACTACGATGTGATCCAGTTGTAAACACACACACCAACACGTATTGCTAGAGGCAGGAATGTGGACCAACATTCTTTTAATGTCAGCATTGATTCTTTCTGGTTTGTGGGTTTACAGGTGATCTTAATTATCTGTTTTGCTTACCAGTATTTTAACTTGATTAGTGTAGTAAATAATTTATGTATAAATAAAATAAAATAGGTGGCCACTCTAATTTATAAATAAAGGAACATACATTGTTCCTATAAAAATGGGCAAGAGTATGTGAACAGAAAAATCACAAAAGAAGAAATATGAACAGTGAATACTCTTGAGCTCTCTAATTCTAAAGCACATAACGTAGTTTGGCATAACGTAAGCCCCCAATGACCCAGTAATTGCGATTGTTATAACACTCCGTGAGTGTGAACTCTGTGGGAATGTGAAATGTACCCGAGACAGCCACGGCGACCACCCGACAAGGGAAGCTGACAAGTCCTGACTGCAAGAGCATCGCATGGGGAAGCTGTGTTAGGGTCACCCCGGGAGACGAGGCCCCTCCCAGGGCACCCACCAAACCCCAAAGGGGGCTGTCAGTCACATCCCCGGCCTGCTGGGATGGCTTCTCTGAGGTCAGGTCCTTCTGGTAACTATAGCTGGGGAAGAGGCAGGGGGAGTCAGCAGGCTTCACAGAGGACATATCTGAGCTGGGCTTCCTGAGAACTGGTGCTGCAAAGCAAAGCGATTGTTTATCTTCGGCGGAGGAAGAGGAAGGAAGCATGGAAGCGTGTGCAAACTTGCTGGAAGAAGAGATTCTGTTTTAAGAGGGGACACTGGCCCTCCTCTCCAAACCTTCCCTCTCCCCACCTCCTGCCCATCTCTACCTTCCCATGATTATCATTGAAGAAAACCAGACCCAGAGCAGCCCGCTCTCCAACCGCATAGCCTTTAAAGGTGAAGGGCCCTGGCCAGGTGGCCAGCTGGTTGGAGAATCTTCCCATACACCAAAAGGTCGCGGGTTCAATTCCTGGTCAAGGGCACATACCTAGGCAACGTCTCTCTCTCTCTTTTTCTCAAAATCCATAAAAACATATCCTTGGGTGAGGGGTAAAAAAATTTAAAAAGGTAAAGGGAATGTTGTTTTATAATGTTTATTATAAAAGCAATACATGATCTGTATAGAAAAAGAAAGGAAAAGCGCATCCCAAATTCCACCACCCTGAAAGAGCCACTTTAATATGTTGGCATGTGTTACTCTGTTTCCACATTTCTGAGATATGTATTTATAAAATCTTCCACATGTAACCTGTAACATAAGCATTTCCCATGTTGCTACAATCTCTTAATAAAAGCAAGTTTTGTTGGCTGCGTGGACGCAGGACAGAGGACGGTGACGGTGAGACGTGCGGGGGCACAGGGGTCAATACGGCCTGTCCTTTGGGGCCACTCTATCTGTGGCTGTCGGAACAGGCGTCTTGGCGGTCAGGCTGATAACCCCGGGGAGCCCTCCTTCTCTGGAACTGCAGGGCCCGCTCATCCGCCCTGAGGGGATTCAGGATCCTGGCCTGTCTGGCTCTCGTCCCCACGTCCCCACGACTACAAGTTCTGGTAATCCGAGGGCCCTGTGTCTTCCTCTGGAGCTTCAGGGTGCAGAAGGAGGGAGTAGGTGATTGTATTCTCAGCCTAGAGAAAGTAGAGGAGCAATGGGACCCACGGAGAAGCTGCAAGAGGCAAGGGAGGAGGGCGAGGGGCAGGCAATGGCTGGGTGCCTCACCTCCACTTTGGCAGCCTCTTCGGCATTGGTGATGTTGGCTGTGGGCAAAAAAAAACAGGTCAGCCAGGGCCCTGCTGCCAGAGGAGCCTACTGCGTGCTGCAGCTGCCCACCCAAGGCCAAAGCGGGCCTGAGTCCATGGGGCTTCGCCCACCGCCCTCCCTCACCCCGGCAAGCGGCCCCGGGGCGCGCTGGCTAAGGGAGGCAGGCATTTGTGCCTCACTCCTTTCAGAGCTGCGGAGATTTCCTAGCGGCGAAGCAGTTAGCCTCTGGGTCTGAGACCCTGGGGCCGGGCGGGGGGCCGGACAGCATCGGACTGAGGCCATGTCTGGATCTGTGCAGCCACGGGCTTCAGAGAGAGAACACTCGTGGCCACATTGGGCTGATGAGATGCATCCTTGTTAGAACTCTGAGGAATCTGGTGGCTCCACGAATGAAAGGAAAGAGCAAGCACAAGGAGGGAGGGAAGAAGGGATGGAGCGAGCGAGCCAGCGTACAGCAGAGCCCAGCCAGCTGCCTCGCCCCTCTGCCAGTGGAAGTGGCCTCAGAGCCCGCCGCAGCAGGGGAGGGTCTGGGACAATGGGGCAGTGTCCTCCCCGTCCTGCATGCTCCCTCTAATGGCACCTCGACATTCCCAGCAACCTGGCCACAACTTTTGGGCAGCCCCAGCCTGAGCCCCAGTCCTGGCTGTGAAATAAATGCCTTGTGAAACACATTTACACCAGTGGAGACAGAGCCACACATTGGAACAGCCAGTCCATGGTGTCCGGGCTTCATTCTGGGCCTGGTTTGGACCTGGTGCAGGCTCGGGCCCGTACCCCACTGAGAATGGCAAAGGACACAGGGTCTGCTCAAAGCACAGCTGGACAGCACCGCTCGCTCAAGCTCTCAAATCCGTTGTTCTGCTCTGAGTCACACCCTGGCCATCGAGGGAGTCCCCGAGGATCTCTTTCTGCCTGATCCTGCTGTCTTGGTGCCTTCATGCTCTGGGTCTGACAATGGTCAGGAGGTCTCCTGGAACCCCATTCCCACGGTCCCACCTGGGCTGGGGACCAGACAGCCACTGGCTCTCAGAGTGTCAGACCTGGAGGGGATCATTTCCTCAGTGAGGTGACTGAGCCCACGTGGGAGCACTACTGGCTAAAGGCTCCACTGCCTGATGGAGACAGGACTCAGGCATCCCACAGGCAGTAAGCCTAGGACCGAGCTTTGCCCACGAAGCCCAGGAACACCCCTAGAGCCCCAGAACTTTCTTGTATTCCTCTGAGAGCCAAGTCCGACCACCCAAACCCCATCACTCCACAGAGACAGACTCCTCAACGAGTCCAGGTTGTCCCCCAGGCCTCCTTCCCTCTTAGAATCCTACCCCAATCCTATTTGCCTCCATCTGGCATCTTCTAACCCCTGTCCTGTGCAGACTCCACCAAAGCTCCCCAGGAAGACCAGCTGTCTTTCATTTCCTGCCCTGGAAATTTCCCAGCATTCCTAGTCCCGGGAATTCCCACACTGGAGAATTTTTGCCTCTGTCTGGGGCAGGTGTTCCTCGCCTCATCTCCAGCAAGGTCCTCTTTAGGCCCAGGAGTTAGTCTCAGAGCTGACCAAGCAATTTGAGCCCCTGCCCTCCTCTCCACCCCCTCCCTCTCCTGTGTGCCCTGCTGAACTCAGGCAAGCCACTTCTCACTCCAATTCATCTGGCAGCCCCAGGTGGGGCAGCAGGTGCCCCCAGGGGGGCTGCACTCACCTGGTTCCTCAGGTAGGGTGTCTCCCATTTCCCTGTTCTTAGGGGTTCCTGGGAGGGTTAGGAGGGGCACACAGGAGGTTAGTAGATTATGGGATGGGGCCTGAGTCCTCAGGACCAAGGACCAGAGTTAGGACTGGGTTAAGACCCACACCAACCCTTTGGCACTGAGATGCAGCCTCCTCTCCCCACTCCCCACCTCCCTGCCAGGAAATGTCCCAGACTGCAAGAGGGCTGGTCAAGCTAACCATGGGGCTCCTGGACACTGGGAGAGGCCACTCATTGCTTCTTCCTTGGCCTTGCTCTGCCCTTAAAAAGCACCACTTTCTCCCTCCCGGCAGACGCCGAGTCTCCTTATTTACTTAGGTAAGTAACTAAGGCCCTGGCTGTGAACCTGCAAAGTGCTTGGTGTGCTATTAGCAGTTTTCTCTTTGTCAGTGGCTCTAAGTCTTTCCTAGCTTTTCAATGTGATGAATTATGATGATTTGCTCATTAGATTCTTAGGCACCTTCCCTCTCCCTCAGCTCTTTGCATCAATTAGTACTGAGGGGAAGAGCTGCTTCCCCAGAGTTGAAGTTCTTCAGCTGGTTGGTTAGTGAACACACATTTATTGAGCATCCAGTGGGTGATAGGTACTGTGATGGGTGCCTGCATGGTCCATGACCTGCCCCTGCCCATTTTTCTGCTCCCTTCCTCTCTCCTTTTCTTCTGCCTTGCAGGGCACAGCTTCAGCAGGACACGGCTTCCACAACATCCTATGCACACCCCTCCCAGCCCATCCTGGCCACACTGGTCCTCATCTCCATGGCCGGTGCCTGGATCGCTCGCCAGCCCTCTTTGCCTGGCTAACTGCCGCCCTCAAGCATCACCTCCCCCATAATGACAGCAGCTGTTTACTACACAGTGGCCACTGTTGTAAGAGCTTCAGCCTCGTCATCCTTGTAACACCCCTAGGAGGTAGCTTCCTTTAGTGTCCTCTTTTCCAGACGAAGAAGCTGAAGCACAGGGAAGTTGAGGAGCTCAGCCAAGGTCACACAGCTGGTGAGATCTGGAGCTGAAACTTGATTGCAGGCAGTCCGGCCTCCCATACGTGGGCCTCCCAAGAAAGCATCTCTAAGGTCCCACCCCAAGCGGGTTCCATGGGCTCTTCTGTGCCCCTACCATGGCCTCTGCATTTCTCTGTCATTGCTCTTATCCTGTCTAATCATAATGATCTGTCCTCCCTGCCTGCAATCCTGTGAGCTCCTTGAGGGCACACACTGGGCTTCTTTGTTTGGGTGTTGTCCACGGTGTCTAGCGTGGAGCTCCACACGTAAGCAAGTCTGTTCAGCAAATGAATGACTATCTAAAACGTGGGCTATGTTTGAACATTGAGGATTCTCTGCCCAAAGAGAAGGGCTCTGGCAATGTTTTAGGGCCTTGACCAAGTAGGAGCCAATAACAAAAGAAACCAAGAAAAGCCACAAACCTGGACTTTGGTGTCGCCTGAAGCAGACCCAAGCCACCACGGCAGCCACACCAGCCACAGCAACAACGCCAGCAACCACAGCCACAACCGTGGTCACAATCAGGAAGGCTTTGCTCGAGCTGGGCACTGGGGAAGACAGATCTCAGGACAGGCAATGTGCTCCCTGTCCCTCCCATCCCCGATGCTGTGCCCGGTGCTGGTCCCCTGCAGCTGCTCTGTTTGAGCCACTCACAAGGGTAGCACTCACTTCCTTCACCAGCCTCACATGCTCAGGGTTCCTGCGGCTAGACTTGTGTCTCCCCATCCCCAGGTATGCCCATTAACCTAAGGTGTACTGCAGAGGTAGTGGGGAGGGGCGCCTGAAGCCCCCCATGGTGGAAGCAGCACCACTGCATCCACCAGTGCAGCGAGTTGTCAGGCACAGGCCACACCCTCGAGAGGGATGGACAGAACATGAGAACTTCAGTTCTCAGGAGTGTCCAGGAGCTTAGGGAACCCCTGCACCCATAGAGGAGGTTCACTCTGCTGCTGTCCTAGGTACGGGGAGCTTCTTCATCTGGAAGCTGAGGGCTCCAAGCTCTGGCCCATACTTCTGGCCACTGGCCAATGCTGAGAAAGGGCCCCATATCTTTTCTCTGTGCCCCAAAGGTCAGTTTTGCTGCTGTGGCACTTCTCGGCTCTCCATGGATGCCCATGTGACCTTAGTCCTAACTGTAATCCCCTCGTCTCACCTCCTTCCACCTGGACAGGGTTCGCNTCTGTTCAGCAAATGAATGACTATCTAAAACGTGGGCTATGTTTGAACATTGAGGATTCTCTGCCCAAAGAGAAGGGCTCTGGCAATGTTTTAGGGCCTTGACCAAGTAGGAGCCAATAACAAAAGAAACCAAGAAAAGCCACAAACCTGGACTTTGGTGTCGCCTGAAGCAGACCCAAGCCACCACGGCAGCCACACCAGCCACAGCAACAACGCCAGCAACCACAGCCACAACCGTGGTCACAATCAGGAAGGCTTTGCTCGAGCTGGGCACTGGGGAAGACAGATCTCAGGACAGGCAATGTGCTCCCTGTCCCTCCCATCCCCGATGCTGTGCCCGGTGCTGGTCCCCTGCAGCTGCTCTGTTTGAGCCACTCACAAGGGTAGCACTCACTTCCTTCACCAGCCTCACATGCTCAGGGTTCCTGCGGCTAGACTTGTGTCTCCCCATCCCCAGGTATGCCCATTAACCTAAGGTGTACTGCAGAGGTAGTGGGGAGGGGCGCCTGAAGCCCCCCATGGTGGAAGCAGCACCACTGCATCCACCAGTGCAGCGAGTTGTCAGGCACAGGCCACACCCTCGAGAGGGATGGACAGAACATGAGAACTTCAGTTCTCAGGAGTGTCCAGGAGCTTAGGGAACCCCTGCACCCATAGAGGAGGTTCACTCTGCTGCTGTCCTAGGTACGGGGAGCTTCTTCATCTGGAAGCTGAGGGCTCCAAGCTCTGGCCCATACTTCTGGCCACTGGCCAATGCTGAGAAAGGGCCCCATATCTTTTCTCTGTGCCCCAAAGGTCAGTTTTGCTGCTGTGGCACTTCTCGGCTCTCCATGGATGCCCATGTGACCTTAGTCCTAACTGTAATCCCCTCGTCTCACCTCCTTCCACCTGGACAGGGTTCGCACCTTGGACAGTGATGCTCACAGGCCGTGATGAGTGTGACATCTGCCCTATGAATCCCGAGCAGTGGTACTCGCCGCTGTGACTGACGTTTGCTTGTGGGATGAAGAAACTGGAATTTGCATGGGAAAACCACTTGGGTTTTTCATCCTGGAAGAATGTAATCTTGTACAGACGCCAGTTCTTCCAGCTGTGGCACCTCAGCACAATGGTGTCTCCCTCCTGGAACACCAGGTGAGGGGTCTGGAGCAGCAGCCAGGCTGAAAGACACAGGAGAACAGAAGACCCAGGAGGTCTGACTCACCTCTGAGACCCAGGCCATCCTGACTGGTGGGTCATGATGTGTGGAAGGAAGAGCTGAAGTCTGAAATCAGACCTCCTGGTCTCTCTCTGGCTCCCTCATATACGACCTCTGTAACCTTGGGCAAGTCATTTAACTTCTGAGGCTTGGTTTTCTCATCTGAGAAAATGGACATAATGACACTGCACAGCTATAACTCCTGGCACATTGTAGATGCCCTTCCCTGTCCTGGGAGAAGGGGACTGCAGCCCCCTCAGGGCAGGAGGGAGTGACCAATCTGACCTAGGAGAGGTGTGTCTTTGGGGATCGTAGAACTTGTGGACATCCAACAAAGGTTAGCTTATCTGGTAAATGTTAGGGAATGTGGGGTTTCCCTCAGGAGGTCTTTGTCTGAAGCTCCACATTCCCTAACATTCACCAGATAAGCTAACTCCCCTCAGGGGGTCTTTGTCAGTGTCATGTGTGAGTCACTAGTCTGCTGTGTAATTTCCCAATTTTCATCCTTTTACTGAGGAAGAAAAAAATATTTAATGTTTTTGTTGTACAGGGAATGAGCCGAAGGAGGGCCCTTAGAGTCCTGAGTTCAGCACTGCTTTTTCCCAAAGCTCTAGGACAAAGCAGGGTTGGAATTGGAAAGAAAGGCTGGGTAGAAGACAACAGAGAAATGGGAAGGGTGAAGGGGGGCAGAGAATGACAGCAGCCACACGCGTGCCAGTCAAGCCCTCAGCCCCTGCCCGAGGCTGCACCGGCTGGTGAGCCAACCAGGGTGCAGGAGGGAGTGACAACAGAGAGAAAACTCAGGGTCACCACCACTTGGGACAATGCAAAGGGAACTGGGGGGGGGGAGACCAGCTCTTACTACTTGTGTCACACAAGCTAGAAGCCCCTGCCTCTCCCACCGGGGACACACCTGTGCCCCACCTCCTCTTGCCTTAGCACACTGCATGTTCCCTGTCCTGGAGAACTGAGACCCTGGTGGACTCCACTCCAGGTGAGGCAGAGCAGTCCTGGTCCCCCAGACTACCTCTTTTATCAAGATCCAGTTAGGGCAGGTGGACAGACTGAAAATTGTAAAGATTTCTTAAAATAGAGTAGAAGCCAGAGAAACGTCAAAGCTGCCACCTGTAGCACCAGCAGCCAGTTCTTGGCCCTCTCGCCTTGTCTGGGAAATCCCTCCACAGTCTGCTGCCACCAGGCTATCACCTGGACAGTGGGCATGTCTGCCTTAGTCTGGTTTGTGTGAAGGGCCACCTTAGGTTTCCTTGAGGATGCTTCTCTTGGTGCAGATCTTGGGGGCAGGGCCAGCTCCATGTCCATGGCACTCGTGACATGTTCTTCGTTTAGTAATAAAAGGGTCTTTCCATGAGTATCCTGGGAGCCTTGTAGAGAAGCAATAAACACACATGCCTCCTCTACACTCCGTGGCCAGGATGACTGGAGGGGACACGGGGTTAATGCCATGTAGTTCGAGTGTTGGCACAGCCCTATGGAGGTTCACCAGGGCACGTTCCTCAAGCCGGGCTCTGCCTGTCCCTAGAGAGCTGGAGTTCGTTACACAGGCAACGCCAGCTGTGGCAGGGTCCCTGGCTGGGGAGCACAGCTGGCTTCTTGAAACACTCTCATTTTTTCCTCTTCAACCAGACCTGGTGGCCACACACCATCTTGTCCCTCCTGGTGCACCTCACAGAACAGAACTCTCAGAGGCACGAAACTGCTCACAGTTTGGGACACAAGAGTTGTCTGCTTGGCAGACAGGTGGCTCCTCCCATGGGCTCCTGACCAATTCTCACTCAGCTTGTCCCAGCCTCTTCTGTAGCAGCTTCTCACTCTGGTTCTGCTTCTTCTTGGTTACAAAAGCCTTCAGTGATGTGGGTGACAGTTGGGGCTTCCCAGTGGGCTGTGGGGGTTTGAGTCACCCATTTGTGTGCACTGTGGCTAATGCAGGGGGCAGTGCTCAAAGGCAGGAGCACAGCTGCCGTTCACTGCTGGGGGTGTTAGCACCCCTGCTGGGCACTGGCCCAGCTTTCTCTCCAGCTGCTGGAAGTGCCTGGGCAACGAGCACTGAACCCAAGGTCTCGCCTCCTCAGACTCAGCCTGCTGCCTCAGAGCCACCACCTGGGTTTGCCCAGCAGCTGCAGAGACTGCACGTAGAAGGCAACAGGGACCCAGCAGTGGTGGCAGAGGGACAGCCAGCGTTGTCAGTACTGGGCCTGGCTGTGCTGGAGCCCCTGCGGGCGGTGGGGGCACCTGCTGCTGGAGCTCCACCTGCTTCTCCTGAGGCTGGTTGCTGCTGTTGCTAAGTGGGGGTGGGGCTGGGCCTGCGTGTGGGTGGGGCAGGTGTAGCAGCCTGTGTCAGGGTCCTACTGCGGCCTGCTGCCTGCTGCGCTCACAGTCACGGTGTGGGCTTCAGGCTCGGGCTCCAGCTCTCCTGTGCCATTCCCAGGACAGCTACCAACCCCCCCCCCCCC